CGTAATCTCTTAAATCGCAGTATTCCTTCCAGAAGCGACACTTCTCATGTTACTGTGACCACAGATGATAACCAGGACTGTGCCCTGCGCGATGTCCACACAGAAAAAGCAATTCCGATTACTAACTTCCCGATAGCAGGACAAAGCATAGCGGCATTGCTGATCGTAGACCAGCTTGATACCAGTTTGGTTAAAAATTTTTAGTATTATGTGCGATGCTAAGGATTTGTGTTACAAACTTTACCTGACTAAAGAAATGATCAAACGGTTCCGTATATTGTATCATCTGTCTTTTTAACTATTTTCCATATTTTCCCCAGAATTGTGTAACACTGACTTTCATTTTACACTATCGGACTATCGTGACTTTATATTTTTTTGAGTAACTTTTAAAGGTAAGTGTAGCACAGTGCTATTACGGATTAATTATATTATAGGGCAACTAATCACAATTACGGAACGTGATAATTAACCAGTGACAAAAGTTTGCATTCTCCTTCTTGCAGACATCAATTAGAAAAGGAGAACACTGCTTTTCTTACACCAAGAAAACTAATTAACCAAGAAAATCAGTTAAGATAATTGTTTACGAAGAATTATTGAATTGCTATAAACGGTTCTCAGGGTTTCAGTAGAAAAAATTCTAAATCACCCAGAAACGATTAACTTGGACTATTATTTAGATTAATCTATCGAGCACAACGATAGAATCATATGATTGTTCATAAAATGATGGTGCAACTGCTCAACAAGTCATGCACACTTTATGCTTTATGTGCTACATGGCGCAACCTCGTAGCAGTCAGTCATTTATAGTTTACCTTAATCAAAAGCAAAACGCAGTAATAAGTTATATTGTTATACCAGTTCAGCTATTTGATATGTTTTCTATAGTTAACACATCCATCGGTTATGGCCACCTCGGTTCGATAACCGGATTTCGTGAAGAATCAAAGGTTACTAAGACTGACTGCCTTGTACTTTTAACCAAATACCTACATGATTCTCTTCGTAAGTTAATAAAAATCACGAAACTGGTAACACTAATTGCACTGCCGCGCTAGAGTTGATTGACGCCAACTACGGATTTGTTGAGGAAAAACGAAAAAAAAAATGGCTTGAATCATGAGTGCTCCTACAATGGATTCGACAAATAAATATTTTCGAGTATTGTTAACCCATGTGCAAAATATCATTATGTTTATGAAAAGCATCGATATTTCAATAACTCTATTCATGATCACTTATTATGTGGTCATCTTGTGAAGTACTCCAGCGCATTTTGTTCGAGTTAGGTGATAATGCAACACGATTAGTTGATCTTTCCTGTACATTCTCAGAGCAGCTCACAGTTCAAACTGTCACTTGATGAATATACCATGACTTTTATGAGAATACCTGAAAGGGTATATAAACCCCGAGGAGTAGACATTGCTTGTGCCTCGAATTACCGACAGCAGCATCCAACGCAGCGGCCTATCGGTATGATATTGCTACATTGATCAGCCGTACGCACGTTGAAAACACAACAACTGTCTACATTGTCAGCTGCTGTGTTTAGGATAATCTCCGACAATGTCTATTCTGTAACGACGCGTAATATTCACGCTGCAATACTGGAATAAATTATGAACCGCAACGAACAGTTTTCAATTAAAAAAACCGATGCGAGACGATTCTCGGCTAGGAATATGTGGGAAGTGAAACGTGCAGAGGTCCAAAAACAATGTGTCAGACATGCAGCAAATACGACTATACTATACAACAAAGCATTCCTTTGAAAATTAACATATTTCTCTTTTAGTAAAGACTCCACCATTGATGCGGTTGTGATCGCATCAGCCCATATTGTTTACGGTGACAAGCGGATTGCTTTTTCATCATTCCTCGACTCATTGTGCGGTAGCTGGCCGCAATATAAATAGGATCTGCTGATCCAAGAATTTGCTTTTCTTCTCTCTAAAGAAACTCTGCGCCGCTAGTTGCCACGATTATTAGATTAAAATGAACGCATTGGCCTATGAGTACAATTTTTATGTTAAGCCGTCCAATCAGTACCCGCCGAATGTCATCTAGGTGAGAAGGAATGTCCACGAACACCTGCCTTTCGACAAAACGTGGATTGGGCCTCAGATGTCGGATATACCGTCTAGACTTACTGATGTAGACCAATTCTACAAGATTATGTGTAATTGGACTCTTCTAACGATCACGGGCGTAGCAGTAGAAAGAAAAATCAAGAAATTGACCGAAACTGATAATTAGGTTGGGAAACAAAGCTAGTTTGCGACAGATTAAATGGTCTCATACTCATACTGATAAAATTTCGTCGACAATATAACGGGTGTACATAATGTGAGTACATTTCGTCTGTTATACTGTTGTTCTTTCGAAATCAGCGTGCCACGTGGGTGGCTGTAGTTCTCACAGAGAAAGGGTGTGAAACTCAAGCTCGACCGGTTTACGCTGAAAACAACACAGTCGTGAAACAGTTTCTCAGTGGTGTGGCTTACGATGATCATTCAACTACAGTAGTCATATTAAAATGTACATCGACATTAGCGCTAGCCAACTCTCTGGACGCAGTATCATATCGCCCGTCGACCAATCCTTACAATGCCTATTTACGTGTTATATGTTTAGTGAAAAAGAATAATGTTTCGAATTAGATGGGGTCTTGAGCTGACTTAAAAGGGCCATTATGGTCGCAATAATGTTGTGCCTATATATATTATTAGGCCTTTAAAGAAGCACAGATCTTGCTTCTCAACTTCTATATCCGTAAAGTGACACCTAGTAAGGTTACTTAAGGGTGGACTGTAACAAACATTGTCAATTGTTCCTCTAAAATTGACCAGATGCTTTATTGATATTTAGCCTCTTGATCTTTGATTGTGCTACTATAATGATCAGGTAAATAATTGATTACCCGTTCATCGGACTTCGTATGTACCAAAAACGGTAAGTGCATGTACAAATTAGTAAAAATTAACGGTACATGTGCTTCTAGTAAATGTAAGATGATTCAAATGCTCGGATTCAAAGAGCACGGATCGCGGCTCCGAGCAATAGTATTGTTTTTAAGCAGGGCTAGCTACAATGGTCAAACCTCCAACATTTTTATATTTGTTTTAAAATAACTTACATTACTTTGTAACACTTAACCACGAACTTCGTTATTAGAACCATATACAGAATGAAGTTTGCTTTTTAGGCAATTCCATTATGCAATTGTACATAACATATCACCCCGTCACCATTACCTAATGTTGTCTTCGTTATGAGAGAATAGCCCCCTTGTTTGATTGCTAAGCTTAAAGCACGTAGTGGTCTAAGTTTAAATCAGCGAAACACACTTTGTGTATGCTGGGAGTCAGCCATCTAACTAAGTACTAGGTCCATAAAGTACTAGGCGAAAAGCACGAAATACATACCCCTTCATCTCATCCATAGTCACCGTTCTGGTTATTATGAATGGTCTATCTATCGTTTTACTAGTCTAGAAACTATTTATATTTATTAAAGCTTCTATCTATTCATCTTTTTGGTCATGGAATTTTCTTTTTTATTTCTGGGCATTTTTGTTTGGAATTTGTTAGACGCGTGTAGACTGAAGTGGACCACACTTTGATAGAATTTTTTAGCCGGAATTGGTTCTCCCGACCAAAGATTTTTTTCACACACAGGTTTTTACTGGGAAAAGATCGATATTAATATCAATTGAAAACCCTTGATAAGCTACATCATGTCAATTTTAACGTTGGATAAAAAAATAATAGTAAACACCTCGTCACGCTACTTTGCAAATACAAAGACATCCAGACAAATATAACGTTTGTTACATCATTAAACAATACTATGATATCAGCCATGAATATAGTCGTATAATTTTCCGAAGCCGAGCGGTAAGATATTGCAGGCAAACCAATGTATAGTTATGCATTATTGAAGCAACAATAAAGCAGTGTCCCAGCAATACTATCACACATTATTGAAATAAGTATTTGTCCATCGAAGAGTATAGTTACTGCGGGAGAAATGGACGCTATTAAAAAGCGCATCTTTTCCCATTGACTATTAATAGCAGATGAAATAACGTAACCAGATATCTGTGCCAAAGTTCTAATCGAGGTGGGCTCGTGACATCAAAAGATTAGCAACATGATGGTGACAACCCTCTTGACGTATACAATTAAATGTGCTTTATAAGTGGTGTAATTTCCCAAGCAAATTCACCAATTTGCTACCAGTGCTACTAAAAATACGTATTGATGTATGAAGACTTGAACAGCGCCTCAGCCAAGATGTCGCACATCATATAAACAGAATAATCATTTTTCATCTAAATTTCATTCTCTTACGCATGCACATTATAACAACTGCAACGACAATAGGAGATTGACTAATGAGTATTTTTTTTTGACTTTTGCAATTTCTCCTGAAGGTGTAGAGATATATTTTAATTGTTAACGTGAGTTATCTCTGATGTGTATTATTTGAGTTGACATTCATAAGGGGGGACACCAGTACCACCACATTTTGGAAATTTATATTGCAGGCAAACCAATGGATATAGTTATGTATTATTGAAGCATACAAGCAGAGGTGTAAAGATCTAACAAACCCATACACCTCCTATGACTAATTCTCGTCTACTGTCTATCTATATATTATTATTAAACAACTTTCTTATTTAATAAATAATGTAAGGCTCCAAATTGTAAGGGCCAAGATAAGCTTTTTTGTACAATTTGTTCTCCTGACCAAATGGTATCTTTTTTTAAATTCAAGTCTACATATCAGGGTTGTTCACTAATGCAGAACACTTTTTTGCCACGTGTTTACAAAGAATGTTGATGTACATAAGTACAAATGTACACAAGTGTACAAGTGTTTCTTGCGTTAAGCATTAATTTAAACGGCTAACTTCCTCTGCGTCGAGTTTCGAGCTTAGACCACCGCGTATCGCTAAATTCATTAGCCAAAAACCTTACCCGTGCAATGTCACGGGGACACAGATGTACACAACTCAGACAAAAACACACCACTTTGAGTTGGTCAGATCGGCCAACCTTAATTATAATTTTATTACAAGTGTAATTAAAAATGCATTTTACAATAAACCATTACCAACCACCGTCCGCCTGGATGAAGCATTGCTTATTAATATTTGCATCATAAAATTATTTTATTTCACGATTACAAAGGACTAATACCTTTACTTCATTAAAACATAGAAGAAGAGGAGGTTCCGCAACTGTCATGGCATAGCTCCAAGCTTTTTTTTGAGACCAAACGGCGCTGTCAGCGTTCCACCTGCAATTTGGAACAAGAGGAGTTTGTAGCAATTTCTCTTGTTTATGGCTGCAATTAAGTGAATTAGAATATATACAAGAACAGCCTACATAATAACAGCCGGGCGACTGCTTGTCTCATCAACATCATATTATTCGATATTTGTTTGTCTCTCATAAGGTATACATATGTGTATTACGGTCGCAAATGTGACTACTATGTTATATAGAAATAATTTGCTTGATCCAAAGATAGTGGTTTCATTAGCAATACGTTACTTGCTTGCTGTTCGAAACCATGTTTAAGGCCATTATCATTGGAAAAGGTTAAAGACGAAATATAAGGTAAACAAACGTATACAACAAATATAGCCTTATAATATTAGTTCTTCTCATTTAAGCCTACAATTGGATCTGAAACGCATCCTGTATGGAATGTTTTGCGCCGGAATCCTCGTATGGTGCGCGAAGATTGTGCCTGCCCAGCAGGACTGCCCGGTAAACGGGGTCGGCGAGGACGTAATGGAGAACCTGGCGCACCAGGACCTGCTGGTTCCCCAGGAAAGCCCGGATTTCCGGTGAGTGCTTCTGGCGGTTAGCGTGTTTCTAGTAACGAAATTACGTCTGGTTATAGCCATGGCAGTGTACGAGAAAGTTAATTTGCTCCATATCTATAAAATAAATAATATTAGAATATAATATCAGTTATTTCGTATATATATCGTATTTTCGACGTAATCGTTTTAGTATTCACGTGTTTAATAAACAGATTACAGAAAAGATTGCACTCACCTGTACAGATGAGTACTATATTATTATATATTTAGATATTTATTAGGTAACAAATGTGAAGCTTTTCGAACAATGGAAAATAAATATTTATTTATGGAAAGAACGACTGATAGCTAGTTTTTGCTAATAAAATAGTTCATTTACGATGAATTTAAAATTGCTAGCCAGCTTGCTATTGTGTGAACTTTCGTTCTAAATATTTCGAGCCGTTCTTTAGACAGTGCAATTGCGAGACTAAAAAAGAAAGCTTTATTCTTGCAGAAAATAAAACACAAGCACTCGAAGAATATCGTCAAATACTAACTTGACAGAAAATTCTAATGAAGTAACCTATTTCAAGGCACACCTTAATTTAATGCATAGCTTATGTATACATATGCATATATATATATATATATATATATATATATTTTTAAATGTGTGCCACAATAAATAGGGAAATAAGATTTCTCTGTTTAGCACT